CCTGCGTGGCTCTGTGGGGTGATTGATGGGGCTGCTCCTGTTCTGGGTCCCCAAGAGCGCCTTTGAATAATAACTTGGCAAAATTACCCTCTTTTTTTTTTTTTTTTTGCTCATCCTATTTCTGATTCATTTGCTCTTTCTAAGTCATTCGTCTCTTTTGAGTTACAGAAAGAAAAGAGGAAGAAGAGGAGGGAGGGGTCACAGGTGCAGAGGACCACGAGCCCCACCTTCCTGTCTCATGGAGGGGCTGGACACATGGGCCTGTCTGCCTCTAGGACGTCGCTATTGCACCTGACCTCCGCCCACAGGAGGAGAGCCAGCATGGCAGGTAGGGGAGGTGGGGGAGGCTGGCTCTACTCACGGGAGAGATCCTGCCTGCCTGCAAGGATGTCAGGGATTTCCCAGCCTCAAGGGGGAGCGGGAACAAGGGCAGGGAAAGGAAGGAGAGATGGGGGCACGAGGGGGTCCTGTCAGCTTACCAACACCTTCGCTGATCACCTGCTACATACCAGGTGCCAAAAGACAGACAGACAGACTCTGTTCCTGCCCTCGAAGGGGTCGCCAGGCTAGTAAATAGGTAAGTACCTACAGAAGATGCCCGAGCAGAAGTAGGTCCCAAGCCATCATACAGAGGAGGCTGTTCTTTCTGTGACGAGAGGAACCAGGCAAGGCTGGCTTCACAGATGGGCTGTGAGGAAATGTTCTGGAACTTCAGTCTGAAGGTGGGGAAGGGTGCTCTGCATGTCTACAGAGGCCAAGGTGTGAAGGTGGTCTGTCTGGAAGGAGTTCTGCTACATGGTATTTTCAGAGCGCAGAGAGGGAGATGGCCATTGGCAAGACACAAGAGGTCGGGAAGAGCCAATGATAACAGGGCTGCAGATCTTAACCGAGTGCCTAGCTTATGGGAGAGGCCCGTGTGCCTGTTACAGGGCTTGGATTACCGCAAAAGGACAGTTATCCAACAGGAAGATTTGTGATTAGATCTACAACAGTTGGGGGGGGGGGGTTGGAGTGGCTGGGAGAGGCTGGAGGCAGGGAAACCAGCCAGGAGGCTGCTTCAAGAATCCAGGCAAAAGGCTGTCGGAGGACTGAACCTGGGCAGCGCCAGCAGGGGAGGGAATGGATGTGAGAAACCTGTAGAATGTCCTGTGGACTGGGCTTGGTGATTGGCTGGGGGTGAAGGATGGGGGACATAGACATACCTAGCAGTGCCACCAGCTGAAACAGGAACCATAGCCACAGAAACATTCATGACACACGGCCAAGCGCCTGCCAGGTGATAGCGTTTTTCCAGTCCCAGAGACACAGAGACGAATCATTCATGTCTCCTGAACGCTCTTCAGGGCATTTAAAGACAAGCTTAATTTATATACAAAACTCGTATCCCTCCACATTTGCGTGCATCTCAGAACTTCTTTAGCAAAAAATGTACCCTTTTCTCGCCTGCCACACAGAAACTCACTACGTATTTTTCTTTATTTTGTTTTCTCCAGCAGGCTACACTCACCCAAGTGGGATGATTCAAGATGACCCCATTGGTCCGTGGGCGGGAGCAGGGAGCCCACTTGGGGCCGATTCCACAGGGCTCGGGTTGGGAAGCTGGAAGCTGCAGAGTCAAGTCTCCTTCCAGCCATCTCCACCAGTCAGCTTGAGTATTTTTCCCCCTGGGATGGATTTCCCCGTAAAATAAATGTCTTGTCTGAATTAATCTTATTTTTAAAAGGAGAGAGTCATCATATTGTAAAGACAGATCATAAAAAGATGCATCAATCTGTCAGAAGGCTGGTTACGACGAGTGTTTGTTTAGCAGAAACAGTGCCCCCCTCCCCCTGACTCCCTGACCCCCCAGCCTCCCAGCTCCCAGCACACCAGTCCCCAGCATCTGGACTGTGAGGCTGGGCTGTTGCTGTGCCCAGCCCCGTGCAGTCAGCTTCTCCTGCGTGCCTGGGGCCCCTGCAGTCTGTGCGGACCAGCTTTATTCCTTAGACCAGCTGGGGCCCACCGGCTGGCACACTGAATCCCTGCACGCAGCTACCTCCCTTTTCAGCAGAGGCCCAGCAGCGCCTCCAGCTGGAGAGGCCAGTCCCACTGCCCAGCCGCGTCCCAGACACTTTCATTTGGGAGCTCCTCAGTATCCAGGATCTTAATGGTACTTCAAATCTCTCTATTTTGTTTATTCTTGAAAAAACAAACAAACACAAAACTATATAGGCCTTCACCTAAGGACATAGATTAGGAGGGAAAAGAATCACACAAGCAATTCCTGAAGAGCTGGGGGTAAAATTCCTATACCATAAGGTGAAACATTACAAGGAAATACATGAATGCGCAAAATAAAAGAGGAACATGTGAAAGTCCTCCTTTACCTTCTCCACTGTTGACCACTGGGAATATTTGGTGTGTTTCCTGCCTTCCAATGCATTTCTACCAATTTTCCCTTGCTCTATATACACGTGTCGTTTATTTTGGGTTATGTGAGGTTTTTTTCTTTTTCCTTTTACTTAATATCCTTTTTAAAAAAAACTATAAAATCTACAGCCATTTGTCATTAAAAACTTCAAACTTTACAGAGGGGTAGAAGATAAAAAGGAAAAAAAAAAACCCACAAAAACAAACCTCAAACAATACCCTTTCCCTGTCCCTCCATTCCCACTCCCCAAAGCAAACAGATGAGAAACATATATTTTTTGCGTATTTCTTAAGAAAGGATTATGCATATACCAGCACTTAAAAATATTCATCCTTCAGGGACGCCTGGGTGGCTCAGTTGGTTGGACGACTGCCTTGGGCTCAGGTCATGATCCCGGAGTCCCGGAATCGAGTCCCGCATCGGGCTCCCAGCTCCATGGGAAGTCTGCTTCTCCCTCTGACCTTCTCCTTGCTCATGCTCTCTCTCACTGTCTCTCTCTCAAATAAATAAATAAAATCTTTAAAAAAAAATATTCATCCTTCATCTGTTCATCCTGCAGGTGAGGAAGCGACAGCTCAGAGAGGTTCCAGGGCAGATGCAAGGTCACACGCTGACTGGGACAGAGGCAAACTTGGCAGCCAGTGCCCTGATTTCAGAGAGCAAAGGTCCTTTCTCCACACATCTCCAAGGTGTTCGCCCACCGCCAGTCTTGTCTCTAATCCCTCCCTAATCTTGACTCTGCCCCGCTGTGACACCTCGCACCATTGCCACTGGTTGTCACCCTCCCCTCCCGAGAACGCTCGTGGGCTCTTGGCGTGTTGTTGGTCTGGGTGGGCCTGACTCAGGGCTACAGGAGCACCTGCTGTCTCTGTCAGAGCTGTCCTCAGAGCAGAGCAGCCTCATGGAGCCTGGCCAAGGGATTCCTTCAGTGGGCTCGAGTTCACGCCTTGGTTTCCCAGATTAAAATGACGGCTAGGTGCAGAAGACCTTTCCTTCCCAAGGATCATTCCAGTTAAGTAGGATCTGTGCCTTGTGGGAGTCGACATGCGGGGTAGGCCTTCTGCCGCTCCCTCTGTGCTAGATTCTGGGGCTGCAGGCCTGGCTGTGGGGAGCTGACAGTGCGGGGAGCTCGCACTCACCTAATGCACCTTTTATCTGTAGTTAGCCTGTGTTCCTTCTGTTCCTTTTCTGTGTGCCCTCCTTAGCCCTCTTAGACCCACAAATGTCTAAGGAGGAAAGTCAGTCAGCCATACAGATGCGTTTGTTTCTTGTTGATGGTGGGAGGGCCCCCATCTGGACATCCAGGCAATATCCAGATGGACAGACCCCACATTTGATCCTGCACCTCCAATGATAGGAGGTGGCAGAGCCCCAGGGCAGAGCCTGGACCTATGCTCAGCCAGGCCTATGCTGACCTTATAGATGGAAACTTGGGAAGCCGCAGAACGTGGACAGTGGGTCCAGGGAGGGAGGGATGGGGGGAGTGCATGGTAGGGAGAGGGTCTGTATGAGCATCTGTGAGGGGCTGTTAGGGAACGGCAGCTAGAGGACTCTGATCTTGAAAACGAATACTCTTGACTTCACAGATCCACCCACCTCTGGGCCTCGAGGTGTTGCCTAGAGCCAGGGCTTCAGGATGGGGCAGAGTCTGCTCTGGCAGGTCTTAGGTTCACTGCTGCTCAGGAACCGGTCTCCCTCCCAGCAAGCAAAACCTCCAAGATCTCTGATTCCGCAGCGCCCTCCAGTGGCTACCTGGAGTATGTCTGGTGAGAAAGCCTTAGGACTCGTGTGATCCTAAGTCAAACATGTGGACCCTTAATGGATTTTAGAATCTGTATTCAAGTTCCTCTATCTGCTCCCACTGTCTGCATGATACAAAATTCTAGGTGAACAGAGAGAAGGAGACAGACAGAGAGACAGAGAAGTCCTATGCTAAACGGACTCCGCTCTGCCAACTTTCCAAATGACTTTGGCGCATTCCCAATGCATACCCCAGCCCTAAGTCAGGACACCCTCTTAGTTAACTTCTCCACTGCAGGGAGTGACAAAACATGCTCTAAAATGCATCAGAAAAACAAGGGGCACTGAAGGATAGAGAGAGGGATAGATGGAAAATATGCAGAAAAGCAAATATAGCAAAACGCTAACAGAGGAATCCAGCAACTGGGTAACCGTCCACTGTACAATTCTTTTAGTTATCTTTATGTTTGAAAATTTTCATAAGAAAATGTCAGGATAAAATCCTGAATGATTGTGGTGATTAAGCAGGTGTGGGACCACTGTTGTAGGGGAAGCCTCCCTCAGAGGAATTTTGGAGGGGCAGTGGCCTGGGAAGCCCCCTCTGGCCTGGGAAGCCCCTCTGCACTTCCTTCTGGAGCCGCTGGCCTCTGGCCTGGTCAGTTTCTCAGCAATCCCAAATGCACCACACTTTTCCCGGGGTCTTGAAGGAAGTCCATCTGCCCCGGGCGCTCCTGCTCTGGGGGTGGAGTGGGACAAGGTGGGTCCTCTGAGGCTGGTCTCTGTGGGGCATGGGAGCAATATGGTCAAGCTGGTTGGCAGTGTGAGTTGGGCAGAACTGGGAGAAATGAGGCTAAAAGTTCTCCTGGAAGAATTTGAAGCTGAACTGCTCACAGTGGCCCTTGAGCACCTTGGCCAGGGCTGGGGAGCCACAGAAGAAGACCTGCATCTTGCCCTTCTTCTCAGCAACCACCTTCTGGAACACCTGAGCCCACACGGGGTAGGAGAGAGCAGAGGGAGGGGAGTGAGCCTGTGGACCCGCTCAGGGACACACCCAGCTAGGGCTGACGACATAATGGGTCAGCAGCGATGTCCCTCCATCCCCATGAGGAACTCCAAGGCACAGCTGCGTGGCTTCAGAGTGCAGGGTCCAACATGCATTCTTTTGGGGGGCCACTTACTCTACCCCTAACCTGACCTAGACCCCAGGAAGGGGCTGGACCAGAAGACCCAGGCCCTCCATTCCCGGAGCACAACTGCAGGGAGACTGTGCTGTTGGGGGACAGCGACAGGGCCCCGTGGGCACACTGAACCCTGACTGCCTGGACATCCCGCTAGTCCTCCCCTGGTCACATGCCTCCACTGAAATGTCTCTTTCCTAAACTCTGGCCATTCCCCCAGTGAAGACCCTTTCCCACCCCAAATTCTGCTTACGGAGGCCATTGCCAAAAGCCCTCCTTGGTGCCCAAGCACCAGTGAAGTCCTCTTCCCTCACTCTCTGGGCATGATCATTGCCCATGGATTGAAAAGCAGTAACTTCTGATACCTCACACTAACGGCCCTCTGACTGGCAAGTACTCAGGGGGGAAGAGAATCTAAAAACCAATCTAAGAAACAAAATAAAGACTGCAAACTTTTGTTCCTTTGGGCCTCAGTATTTCCATTTGTACTGAGAAGGATAGGACTTGGTGCTTCCCCAAGATCCTGTCTACTCAGGACTTCTGACCCTGATTCCCAGGGAGTCAGGGCTGGGGGAGGCCTAGGAGGTCAAACTGACTAACTTCTTCGCAGAACAGATGGGGAAACTGAGCCCAGTGATGGAACAAAGAGATCCAGTCATGCTGCCAGTGATCTTGGTTGGATCCTGGCCCCTGGCCTCATGCTCGGTCCCTAGCTGCTCATCCCCAGTCTCCCAGCGACTGCCTTAGGATCTCTGCCCCAATGGCCCCTGCAGGCAGTGGGGCTGTCGCTGGCCTTTACCTTGTTCCAGTCAGGACGCCCAGGCTGGGTGCGTGTCTGGAGGCCTGTGATGGAGTCCTTCTTCTCCTTCTTGGCCAGGAGGTCGAGGGCCATCTGCAGGCCAATGGCCTTCATGTCATTCTTGCCCAGTGCAGAGGTCATATACATGTGCAGCTCCAGGAAGGGGTCTGGGTGATGGGAAGCAAAGGCGGCACTGAGGGGCTCGCGCCCGTAATGGGGACCAGGGCTTGGAGCGAGACCATGAGGGCTCCGGGCTCACACCTTCGGTCCACCAGCGCTTTAGAAGGAAAGCTGGCCCACTGCTGGGGCGGGGCCTGCTCTGAGCCAGGCGCACGGTGTGACTGTATCCACAGTCCGGCCTGCACCCCACGGCCACCTCAGGACTCGAAGGGGAAACGCATTCCAGGGGAGCATGGCAGTCCTTGGGCTCTGAAGCTCATGCCCTGTCACACCTTGTGGTGTCTGTTCCATTTGGTTAGGGACACAGGCCAGGCACAGCCGAAAAGCTGAGACCAAAGGGTCAAGGGTTGAATGAAGGGGTCAGGTGGCAAAGGGTACTGAGCTACAGAGAATGGCTGCAGCAGACAAGGGGCTTTCTGGGACCGTGGGGATTGGGACAGGTCTCGGAAGAGGGGCACAATTCAAAGCTAGGGTGGGATGCGGGAAAGGAGAGCATCCTGAGGAGGGGGGGCAGATGAGCCAAGAGTGAGAGGCTGGAAGAGATGTGGTGTTTGTGGGGAGTGACATGACTGCCCACCTAGAATACAGGATCCTTGAACGGGAGCAAAAGGAGATGGGAGAGAGGAGACCGGACGCACACTGAGGCTGGAAGGGAAAGGGCCTTGAATGCCCAGCTGGCAAATGGGGGGCAGGTAGTGGGTATCAGAGTGGGGTGTGGCAGGATGAGAACAGCATCCCAGAAGGGGAGCCAGAGGGCAGGAGGGACAGGGCAGAGGCTGGCCTGGCTCTGCCTGGACACAGACCTGGACACAGTGGGATGCCTGTAGTGGGACGGGTTTGCTAAGATCTTGATCCCTTTGGCTCACAGGGCAATTTGAGCTCCCTGATAGGCACCTCTGTGCTCAAGCAGTTTCTTCCATTTTCCCTGATCTGGCAGACTAATGTATCATTTTCCACATGGGCCACGACAGGGAAGAGGCTGGCAATACCATCCTCCACTTGAGCATTGGTCCAAGCCAGAGATGACGGGGCCTGATCTGGGACGTTGGGGCTGTGAGCGGATGATCATGCCATCCTTCTCCTCTCCCAAGACTAAAGGATCCCTGCCATCCTGGCTGGCTCTCTATTGTTTCATATGTTGCCATTAGCTCCCTTTTCCTTTGGCTTGAGGTCTCAGTCACTGTTAAAATGCAAATGGCCCTAGGAGGGAGAATATATTTTGTTTCACATACCACTTAACTTGAGAGAGCCCTGACCCTTCTTCCCCTCCCTCAGAGTCCTTAACCCCCAGAGAGGGGGCCAGGGAGAATGACACTGTGGTAAGAGGGAGAAGAAGGAGCTCTGGAGAATGACCCGACATGGTTTCCACCCCTGCCAGAACTGTTGTGTTTGAGATAGTCATTCCAATCTCTGGGACACTCTCTTAAAAGAATCATCCAAAAGAAGGAAATAAACTATGTACACAAATATATTAATTGCAGCTTTATATATGATAGTGGAGAATCAGAACAAATTTACATTATCCAGTAGCAGGAGCATGGTGGACCACTGACCTATCATTCATTGTAGAGCCATTAAATACCACTACTACTTAATTAAATACTACTACTACTACTACATTAAATACTGCTGATACTACTACTACTTCAATACTACTACTACTAAATACTGCTACTACTACCATTGCTACTACAGCTACCATTACTTCGATTTTAATTACTACTACTGCTACCGCTACTATTACTACTGCTGCTACTAATGCTAATGCTATTGCTACTATAGCTACTATGATGACTATGACTACTGCTACTCTCACTATTGCTACTACACCTACTACCACCATTACTACTAGTGCTACTACAACTACTGTTATAACTGCTGCTGCTACTACTGTTACTACAGCTATTGCTACTACGATTATTACTACTACTGTTGCTAATGCTACTATTGCTACTATTTCTACTATAGCTACTCTACTATGATTATTACCACGATAGCTACTACTACTAAGCTACTACAGCTATTACTATTGCCACTACTGCTACTACTATTGGTACTACTGCTACTACTACCATTACTACTTATATTACTACTGCTACTACTATTGCTAGTACTGCCACTACTACTATTACTACTACTACTACCATTGCTACTACAGCTGCTGCTACTACGATTGCTACTACTGCTACTATAGCTACTGCTACAACTACTATTGCTACTACAACTACTGCTACTCCTATTGCTACCACTGCTACTGTTGCTACTACTGCTACTATTACAATTACTTCTGCTGCTGCTTACTTTACTGAGCAGTTATTAAGCTCCAGTTCCATGTGCCACACAGATGATCTCGTTGACTCCTCATGACAACCCTGTGAGGTGGGTACTAGCTCCATCCATATTTTTCGCACAAGGAAATCAAAGCAAAGCAGTTAAATAATGTCCCCAAGTTTTGAGAGTTACTATGGGATAGAATAAAGATTCAAACTCAAACAGAATATTTGAAGCTTAAGCTGTAGAAATTAAAAGCAATAAGCCACAGATTCTTGAACTCAAACCTTGGTAAATAATTAGAGTTGAAATCAGAAGTCACGGGTTTCTGTTGTAGTTAATGAAAAACCCTGGAAGAAATTTGAGGTAATAAAGTTGTTGACTCAAGTGGCTTTGGGACTACAAAGCACCAGGTTTGCTGTTATCCTTTGTTTACACAGATTATGAAGAAGCAAATAGCAAATATTTATATACCAGTAACCAGGAAATTTAAATGAAATCTAAACTTCCCCCCTAGCTTGTCCTAGTAAAATGGAGTTTCTAATAAATTAATATACATAAAAGCATTGAGAATGAATTTGAGGCTCTATAAATATCTGCTATAATTGTTATTTACAAGAAAAGGCGAAGAGCTTCATTGCGACATTCTAGAGTTTACCAGTTCTGTGTCAAACATGTTGACTTGCGCTTTAGGGCTTTGAATGTCTGTTATTCTAAACTACATCTGATTGAATGTTTCTTATAAAAAAAAACCATGTTTGATTACTTGAACTTATAAACTATTTATCATGGAATTTTAATTCACTCATGGCAGCCTTAGGATAATTAAACAGTCAAACAAGATCCGGTTCCACTGAACTCAACCAGCATAATACCCCACCCCCTGCCAATTCTCTAAAGTTAGAAACATACCTAAAAATATCCCTCCTCATATTAATTATTCTGTAAGTAAAACACAACAACGATTCTAACAGATTCACTTTAAAACACAGTACAAAATCTCAGTATTCCATGAAGATGTCCTGTGAAGACTATGACAAGCCCAGAGAAACATGCCATCGTACAGACTAAGCCTTGGCTTAGCACAAAGCATAGGCAGCAACACTCGGGGGCAGGGAGGGGAAGATTGTGGGGCTGGAGAAGGACAATCACAAGACTCATTTTTGGTGAAAGTATAAAAGAAGGGACCAAACAGGAAAGTAACTCGTACACGCTGAGCTGTTTAACCTGTACCTTATGGATGGCCATCTCATCAGGAAAAATACCGAGCATTCAGCCCCAATCACTACCTATGCCTCTTCACCTGTTCGTCTCTACTGGCAGATTATGTACCTTAAAAACTAATGTTGGAGGGGCACCTGGGTGGCTCAGTCAGTTGAGCATCCGACTCTTGGTTTCAGCTCAGGTTGTGATCTCAGGGTCGTGAGATCGAGCCCTGCGTCAGGCTCCATGCTGAGCAGGGAGTCTGAGGGAGTACTTCTATCTTTGTCATTAGTTGTTAGGGAAATGCAAATTAAGAGCACACTGAGATACTGTTACATACCCACTAGAATGGCTAAAATGAAAGACACTGCCGAGATCAAGTGTTGGCAAGGTTGAAAAGCTACTGGAACTCTCGTCCACTGCTGATGGAAACACAGAAATTGGAAAACTGGTTTGGCAGCGTTTATAAAATTAAACTTAACACATACCACACTACCCAGCAAATACGTCCACACAAAGACTTGTGTGCACATACGCAGAGCAGCTTTATTCTGAATGGCCAAAAAGTGGAAATAACTCTAACATCTATTCACAAGTGAATGGCAAAGCAGATTGTGGTATATCCACAAAACAGCAAAGGAATTAACTATTTTCTAATACCTGCAGCAACATGGGTAAGTCTCAAAGATATTATGTTAAGTGAGAAAAGTTAGAAAACTGTGACTGTCATATGATTCCACTTACTGGAGATTCTAGAAAAGGCAAAACTATAGTGATCAAAAGCAGATCAGATGTTGCGGGGAGCTGCAAAAGGGGACAGGGCGTTGATGCAAAGGAGGATGAGCAAACTTTGGGGGCGTGGTGATAGAAATGCTCCATGTTTTGATTGTGGTGGTGGTTACACAGTTGTACATACGTGTCGTAATGTCACTGTATTTACTGTAAACTTTTATTGGTGAATGTTATCCTATGTAAATTATCCCTTAAAAAAAGCCAAAAAAAAAAAAAAAAGTGTGAATAAGAGTGATCTGATGTACATTCCTGGGGAGGGGCACCTGGGTGGCTCAGTCAGTTCAGCGGCTGCCTTTGGCTCAGGTCATGGTCCCAGGGGCCTGAGATCGAGTTCTGTGTTGGCCTTCTTGCTCAGCAGGGAGTCTGCTTCTCCCTCTCCCTCTGCACCCTGCTCTCTCTCTCTCTCTCTCTTTCTCAAATGAATAATAATAATAATAACAAGATGTATGTTCCTGGGCCCTGCTCTCAGAGATCCTGATTTGGAAGTCTGGGATGAGGCTCAGGAATCTAAATTTTCATCAAGTGGTGGGCAACTGGGTGGCTCAGTCGTTAAACGTCTGCCTTCGGCTCAGGACATGAACCCAGGGTCCTGCGATCAAGCCCTGCGTCGGGCTCCCTGCTCAGCCAGAAGCCTGATTCTTTCTCTCCCTCTCCCACTCCCCCTGCTTATATTCCCTCCCTCACTGTCTCTCTCTGTCAAATAAATAAATAGAAAATCTTAAAAAGATAAATTTTCAAGTGCTCATTGTGAATTAAAAGAAATACCACAAAAGAGGGAAATTAGAAAAAAAGGATATATATTTTTGTAAATGTAAATAAGAAAAAAACATCAGGAGATCCTTTAAAATGCCTGGAATAGTTTGCATAGCTGGATGGGATTATGAATAACTTTTTCTCCTCTTTTTTTGGTTTTGTAAATGTTACATTTTAGTGGTGGAAGAAAAACCATTCCTCTCTCCCCCACATTTTTGATAGAAATAGGATAATTTAAACACTGTCTTAAACCACCCCCCCAACCCCGAGCCCAAACCCCCACCCTGCTGCCATCCTCCTCAGGCCCTGTCCCTCTCCTACCCTCTTGGGTCATCTCGGCCTGGTCCATCTCCAGCTTGGTCAGCAGGCTCACAAACCACTCAAAAGACTGCTGGTCTCGGTTGATCCAGATGAAGTCCTCCTGGGGAGACAGGCCCTTCTGTTCAGGGTTGGCCCTGCCTCGTTCAGGGCGTGCTCACATCTGTGATCCCCAGCGCCTAGATGACCACCCCTGTGAGGTCAGGGCACACGCTATCATCCCCATTTAATGGAGGGGAAAACGGAGGCTTGCAGGGGTAGGAACCTTGCCCAGGTCACAGAGCAGCATGGAATCAGGACCCAAGTCCCTGACTGGGAGGTCAGGATTTTCTATAATAACCTCTTGTTAATAGCAAGCAGTGTGCTGAAATATTAAGCTTAGGAAGAAGGCAGAAGGACATTACTTATTTTCCCCCTACAAGCTCTTTTAAGTGGCCTATAGGAAATAATGCATTTTCAAAAGGCAAACATTTTCATTTTTAATACCACCACCAGGTGATGGCTAGGTTATAACTGGATCCCAGCTGCCTGACTTTTAGGTTCCAAGGTCTTTAGTGGAACTCCACCTTCAGGTCCCAGAATGCCTCTCAGAGGTAATGGGTGGAGGCTTGGACACATGGGAGGCACGAGGAGAACACGGGGTGTTGAGGGAAGCACAGGGACCAGCCATTCCAAGCGGGAGGGAGAGTCATCTGTCCCTCCCCTGCATCTGCACAGGAGAGCTCGCTCTGGGCAGGGAGATTCCCAGGGGAGAGGGTCCAGAAGCCTGCCTGGAGGAGGCAGTGCTTACCTTTCGGAGCTTCATGTCCTCATCCTGGATGCTATCCATCCAGAAGTGCTGGCAGCTGGGGCAAATGTGCTTCCTCTTCTGGTGCCTGAGGAGAGGCAATGAGTGATTTTGAATTTGGGGCAGATATGAGACTTCTCAGACCAAAGAACAGTGCAGGGGTTGGGGGAAAAGGGTGAGGTGGCAGGGCCTGCCCTATGAGGAAGGGGAGGATTGAGAGCCAAAAGAGAGAGGGAGGAGGAACCGGGGAGGAAAGAGAAAACAGGGTGAAAGGAGAGAAGGGAGGAGCAAGGGAGAGGGAAGAAGTGGGGTGCTTCTTGGGACTCTGCCCCAGGAGACAGGCAGGGGTGGCAGCCTGTCCACCCACCGGTACATGATGCTCTGTAGGATAGAGGCAAAAGGGGTGATGCCGATGCCTGCCCCGATGAGTACCGCATGCTCAGAGACAAAGATCCTGCGGGTGGGGGTTCCGTAGGGGCCGCTGATGTAGCACTGTGAACGGGAGGACATTGCAGGAAACAGAGGGCTGGGTGCCTGGAGAGCTGGAACCCAAGGCTTCAGCACCCCCCGTTACATGCAGGCAGTCACCTGGGCCTCAGTGGCCCCCACTGTAGCGCTCAGAGCACAAGTCTGGGAGAGCCCTGGGATGTGAGAAGGCAGAGCTGGTGAGAATGGAACCCAGCGCCTGCAAAGGGATGGGTTTGGTCCCCTTCTCTGGATGCTGGGGACTTGGAGAACTGGGGTACCTAGGGCTTCTTTTCCTCTGGTTGCAGCATGGGGCACGTCCACCCGCCAGACCCTCTTACCTTGATGTTACAAAGCAGGTGGTTCTCAGAGGACATCTCAGAGACCTGCAGGGAGCAGAGAGCTGTGGGTGGATCAGGCAATTCTCAGAGGCAACCCAGCCCTTGTTGGTCTGAACAACTTTACAAAAAGGGAACTGTTGTTTTCTGCCCCAGGCATTCCAGGTAGCCCTTCTAAGGGAGAATGTCAGTGATGTGCTGGTAAACTGACTCTTCCAAAAAAGAAAACATCACCAAACAACTGATTGGTAGTGTCTGGAGATTTCTGGTATAAATGCTGCCATCGTGGCTTCTGATGTAATAACTGTGTCTCATGACTGGCTCTTAAAGCTCCTGAATATCTAACGATGGGCTCTTGTGGTCCAATACAAGGCAGCCTCGGGAGTGCCTGGAGAACACTCACTCACCCCCAGTCTCCAGCCACTCTTATAACTTTTGTGTTTCTGATGCACCGCTGGCTTTGAACATTCTCTTCCCTTGACCTAGAACACCCTCTCCTCTTCCCCAGCCGGCAAATTCCTGTGCAGCCTTCAGAGTCCAGTTCACTTGAAGCAGCTGCTGCCCCTTGAAGCTCTATCCAGATGCACCAGCCAGAAAAGCCTGGGCTGGCCTGGCTCACAGCTCCACCCTGCCCTTGGGACCCTGTTCTGGGCCTGCTGATGGGAGCCACTGAGGGCAGGGAGCAGGCCTCCTCTGTCTGCTTTGCCTGAGTGCTCCAGGCCCGAGCACACAGCAGACTAGATCTGGGAGGTCAGGGGATTTCCTTTCACAAGGTGAAGGAAGCAGACCCCCCACCAAACAGGCCTCAGGGGCCTGGGTAGCTCTTTGTCTGGTGCTGGAAGGCAGAGTTAGGAGTGACCTTCATAATCATCCAGAGAAAATCCTCATTTCACTGAGGAGGAACGCAGTCTCAGAGCGTGGGGATGACCTGCCGCAGTTCCCAAAGAGCTCAGGGTAGAGCTGGGTCTCCCGCTGATTGTCCAGGGCTCATCCCATGATGGCACATTGCTTCTTTGTGTGGGGTCCTCTGCATACTGCATCCCCCATGGTGTCAGCTTGAACCACTGGTGTCAGAGGTGCTCTGGACAAAAGCTACTGTCCTTCAAGACTCCCGATTGCAAGGAGAAAGCCTATATCATGGTTAGCGATCTTTGACATGCAACACTCACCAGTCCCACCTCTTTTTTTTTTTTTTTTTATTTTACAAAGTAAGAAAGAGAAAGCGTATGAAAGAGAGTCCAAGAGAGAAAGAGGAGGAGGAGTGGAGCTCAGCTTCAGGCTTGGAGCACGAGCAGGCTGGAACATCGGGCAAGAATGGAGTCACATGGGTTTTTATTGATTTTGCTTCTAGGGTTATCTTCCAATGATGGCACATGCTACTAGTTTGCCATTAAAGCAGCCATCTCAAGCAGCCTTTTAGATACAATGAAGTTGAAAGTGTTGTTGGGGAGTAAAGAGAGATGCTAGGTTGGAAAGATTCTCAGTGGGGAATGACTGGCAAAAGTTCTGAAGGGGGTGCGCCAATGCCTGGTTATGGGAACACCGTGTCCTGCGCATTTCCTATGTGTGGCTTGCCCTTAAGGATCTCTCTCCCGAGTTCCAAGGACTCACCACCCCTGGGAGGTAAACACCCCAGCTTCCCGCCTCCAGCCCCAGCTTCCGCAGCCTTACTGGGCCCAGATGGGCTGGGGCTCCCCGCTGGGCTGGAGCCCCTTCCTCAGTCCCTGTGCCTACCAGGGCTTGGTCTCCCTGCTGTGGAGTTCCCTTGGGCCTGTAGGAGGTCAGCTCCACAGTGACGTCCCTGCTGAAGGCCACTGCTCCCTGTGCCGAGGTTCCCGAATGCATGGGCTGGCTGGGCAAGCTCTGTTTGGTTTCAAAGTGGAAACTGCTTTGTTATTTAAATCATGAAATCAATACATGCTAGTTTGTAGAGATTCCCATGTTATAGTACATGCAAGAATAAAGTGAAAAAGTACCCTGAATAAAGCGGAATAGCTCCTCTAAACATTTTTCTAGGTCCTTCCAGACTTTTACTTACACACACACACACACACACACACACACACACAGTCGCATGCACACACTCTTGCATAAACGAAACATACCGCTTTCTAACCTGCCTTTTCCACTTAGTACATCTTGACTAGTTTTCCATGCTAATGCATATGCAGTTACATAATCTTTTTTAAGGGACTTACTATTCCCTGAAAAGGATGACCAGTGATTTATTTAGCTACACCCCTATTGTTGGGCATTTCAAGTATTTCCATTTTCTCATTTTTGTTAACAACTGCCACATATAAAATAGCACCTTTCCTGTCTCTATCCCTCTCCCCCGATTTATTTTTCTTCATAGCATTTATTTTCACTTGACACATTATGCATGTATTTTGTTTGTTTATTGTCTGTCTCTCCTGCCAGAAGGTCAGCAGGGACCGTTCAGTTTTGCTTACTGACAGGTCCTCAGCACCTAGAACAGTCCTTAGAAAACCGTAGGTGCTGTGCTCGATAAATATTTGCTCAATGAATGAATGAAAACGGTGATTAATGCACTTCCTGTGCAACTCTCCAATTAACTAGTCCTAAAAATGGAAATGCGGGGCCAGTGGGTCCACATATTTAAGAGGCTGACACGTGTGGCCAGACCATGTGCCAGAAAGATTGTGCCAATTTATTCTTCAGTGGTGGTGCCTGAGGTCCCAAAGAAACACAGCCTTTAAGGAATCTATTCACTGTTTCCTGAGGTGCAGGAGTCACCTGGTTTGGAAAGCCAGCTTCCTCCGTCCAGAGAACGTCCTGCTTGTTTCTACCTATCCCTTCATTTCCCAAAGCTGTGCATCTTTCTAGAGGGATGCCAGCCTCTGGTCTGGACTGGCAGGATTCTGCCTCATTTTCTTGCCTGGACTTTAAGTTCCACAAGGGCATGGCAGGGCTGAGCCAGGCCTGGGACTTCTTTTCCTTTGACCCTGGGCAGGGTTTTCCCGTATTAACACATCTCCCAGGGGAGTGGTATTGTCTACTAGGTTTGTGTCCAGACACCTTCAGCCTCCTTTGTCTGTTTTGTACTGTGATCTCGCTGTATTCCTCCAAAACCTCCCAGAGCCTGCATTCATTCCAGACACTGGCAACTTGCCGGCTTTGTGAGTTTCATCAGGGCTCAGAAGATAACAATGGCGCCACTGCTGCTGCTGACGGGGACGATGGGGGGGTCCATGGGGACCCTGCTGTCCAGTCAGCTCAGTACTTTACCTGCATCCATTCCATCCTCGGTCCTTTAAAAGAATCGTGTGAGCAAGGGAGGCCAAGGATGGGGGCCTCCTCCAGTTCGTTGATGAATACGCTAAAGCTTGGTGAGGCCAAAGGGTGTGCAAGGCCGTACAGTTAGAACGTGCTGGAGCAGAGACATGGAGGCAGGTTTTTCTGATCTCAATTTCCTCTCCCTTTCCATTGCCCCCCGGCTTCTGAAGGAGGCCTGGGAAGGACCTGGGGTCCTGGGGGAGGACATCAGCCTCTTGGATCACATAGTTAGTTCACATCTGGTTCACCCTGTGTGGCTGTTCAGCGGGTATATATAGCAGCTGCCCAGGGACAGATGCTCCCCAGCCAAGAAGATAGCAACATGGTCCCTGTGCGGTTTGTCTCCACGGTGGACCCTTCCTCCCCCAAAGCCACTTACCTGGGGCTCCCTCTGGCTCCTTCTCCTCCTCAGACTCCTTGACAGCTGTCCAGAGCCACAGTCCATGGGGCACAACATCTTGAACGATTCATATAGCCTGTTTGTCCAGTGGCCTTCGGACCGAACATGTAGCCAGATGGTGTCTGAGCAATGGGGGAGGGAGGGGGGCTCAGCACTGGCTCCTCCAGCAGGGAGCAGACGTGTCCCACCCCAGGGACTGGAGCTGGGCATTAAGTGCTCAAGTCCCAGACAGAATGTCCTTCCTTGGGTCCCAACCAGAGTCACAGCCCCGAGACTTGGAAATCTGATCTCTCCAGCATGAGATCCATGGAGTCAACGTAAGCCTACAAAGCAAGGGTTTAGTCTCCTCTGCCAAGACAGGGGAGCTCCCTGGAGGTGCGGGCCCTGCCTCCTCTATCAGGCCAGGGTCTCCCCATGGCTAGGACCACTCCCTCCCACATTCAACCAGGGGCCCATCAATGGCTCTGCACACTGGAGGTGTTCAGGCTGTGGTGGGACCAATGGCTTTCATTGTGCCCAGTGCCTGGGATGGAACAGGGGCTTATTCAGGTGCTCTGAGGAGTGGATGACTGTTAGAAGGCAGCATGGGGCAGCTTCTCCTCCGCTGAAGGGCACAAGAGAGAATCCACAACATTAGAGCAAGGTGATCTGGGGCCCAGGAGATGGCAGATTCCAAGCTAAAACCCTGAAGAAAGCCCTTGGAGAAGGGGTCCGATCAATGACGCCTCCGTATAGTGCACACAGTCCTTATAATCACACTAGTATCAGTATACTGGAATACCACGCAGCCACAGAGGAAAGCTCTTATTTTAAAAGAACGGATATGCAAAGACCTTCAAAGACATTCTGTGCATGGAGAAAAAGTAGACTGCAAAACAGTGTGAACGGTGGGATCCATGTAGGCAAAATTCTCTCTGCACCAATAGAGCCACATAGAAATAGTTATACAGGGTCGCCTGGGTGGCTCAGTCGGTTAAGCATTTGCCTTCAGCTCAGGTCATGATACCGGGTTCCTGGAATCGAGCCCCGCATCAGGCACCCTGCTCAGCAGAGAACCTGCTTCTCCCTTTCCCTCTGCCTGCCGCTCTCCCGCTGCTTGTACTCTCTCTCTCTCAAATAAATAAAATCTTAAAAAAAAAAAAAAAAAAGAAAGAAAGAAACATTAAGACAGATCACCAAAAGACTGACAATGGCTTTCTTTGGATGGAATTATTTGAGGAATTTAAATTTTCTTCTGTATATATTTCTATATTGTCTGACTTTTCTGAGAGCAGGCATCTTCTTGAGAAACAGAACAGGAAAGAAAACTTAGAAGAAAACAACCTTCCCTCTCCTGCCAGCACCCCCACCTCTGCCTCATGGTACATGTGAGCCACCACTCAGGGCAGGTGATGGGCAGTCTCAAGTGGGGAACACTTAACCTGGGGCTGCACCCTGAACTGTGGGCACTAGGATTCCCTGGGAGGCTTCCTGAGTAGAACTAAAGCTTTTAATATGGATGGGCCAGAGAAAACAGGCAACCAGCACCCTTTACCCTTCATGGAGTTGAGCAAGGGTCTCACTGTCGTAGGTCATGCAAGGTGTTCCCTGCCAGAGGTGCCGCTTACGGCAGAAAGGCCGATCTCTGGCCTAGGACGAGGGCAGAGGTCCAGGAGCTGGCTCTGATGACAGCCCAGGACTGGAAGCAGGCACACACATGGCTGGGAACCAGAAGCCCACTGAGCGGAGGAAGGGTGAGCTGAGCAGTTCTATGGGTGCTGGGGAGCCAGAGAGAAATGGTTGTGGTCCAGGGATGGGAAGAAGGATTCGAGGGATTCTGCGGCCCTGAGGCTCCACAGGGATGGGGGAAGATGACTGGCCCTCATGTGATCTTCACGGCAGCTCGTCCAGCCCTGGCCTGCCCAGTCAGTAAGTGTTTGGGCATCTGCTTCCTGGTTTTGGAGGGAGCTTTTGGAAGGCGAGACCGGGGGTCTCTGGTCTTGTTCACTCCCGTTTTCCTGGTTCCCAGCCTGCACCTGACGCCCTGCAGAACCCCATACCTTTCTGCTCCGGAGCGCTGCTGATGGTGAAAGGATGCCACTCGTAGCGTGCGATGCTGGGGACGTTCAGGTACAAGTAGTCGCCTGGCCTGTAGTGGAAGAGAGGGGGCCTCTCAATGAGGAGATGGGTGACCTGGGGAGAGAAGAAGGTCAGGGTCATCCGTGTGGGCAAAGCTGCCAGGGGCCCCCTTGGGCAAGAGGGCAAAGGCCGGGCCATCCTCCTCCACCACTACCCAGGTGGACCGGGACGCGAGACCCTCCCGTGCCTGTGAGTGGGGCTCACCCTGCACCCCTCTGCCAGGCTGGGGGCGGGCTGTGATCAGAGAGTGGGAAAGCTGAGATGTGTCTGAAGTGAGGCTCATGGCTTGATCCCACTTCTTAGGGTGTAAACACAGCTTTTAATGGCCCCTTCTCTGTAAACCCCTGACAGCTCTAGCCCTTTGCTAGGAATTTCTGTAGCATTTGGCTGGGATTCCAGCCACTCATGGGCATCTCCCCTGGGAGAATGACACCCTCCTGGACCACAGCTTTGGCTCACTGAGCACTCACTGGGTGCCAGATCTGTGTGAAGCACGGAAAGTATGATCTCTGGTCCTCATGGCCATTCTCAGACATGGATGCCACTCTTTCTCCACTTTATAGATGGGAAGCTAAGGCTCAGAATGGCTAAGGAGCTTGCACAAGCCCACCAGTGAGCAAACTATGGGATGCAAATCTCATCACACTGTCTGAGGCCAGAGCCTTGATATAAAACCCCTCACTCTCCACGGCCACCTCACACTCAAGTGCCTGGAAGTGAGCCCACCTGGAACTGCCTTCCCTTTCCCCACGAATGGCCCTGTCACTCAGACACCTGAGAGAGGTCCTGGGCTCCTTCCTCTCTCCCACCCCTGAATGCACCCGGTGACCTCTTGAGCTTTTCTGTGATAGGCCGCCCCACCCCCACCCCACAGCCCCCATTTAAGGTGAAGGCCCTCATGAGCTCTCATCTGCATATGTGCAATAACCTCCCAAAAGTCCTCACCAAGCCATCTCATCTCCCACAGAGCGACTGCAGAAATCTGGCTGGAATAAAGACCCAACCTAATATGACTGCCTGCCCCCTCCCTACCAGCCTGCTCAGGGGTTCCCCATTGCCTGCAGGATGTGGAGCCTCCTGGCCCACCAGGCCCTGCCCACCCCTTCTTCCTGGCATCCTGGCTCCAGCTGAGCCAAATTACATTACTCACAAATTACATTACCCACAACCCGGTGCCTTTGCTGGTGCTGTTCCTTCTCCGGGAGTACCCTTCCATGTCTGTGCAGCAAACTCTTGCTCGTCTCTCAGAACCCTGATGTGGCAACTCCTTCCTCCTTCTGGAGGCTTCTCAGATGGCTCAAAGATAGTTTCCCACATCCTGACCTTCTACTCTCACCAGCACAGCCCTGCCCTGTAACCTAGGGGACAAGCAGGACAGTACCCGAGCCATCGTTGTGTCTCTGCTACCTCATACAGGGCCTGGCAACTTGCAGGTTCTTAATATGCTTTGTGAGTTGGTCTGGAGCAGTGTCCTGACTACCTGTCATTCCTCTGCCTCAGGTGTCACTCCTGAAGGCCAGACTGGATCCCAGACTTTGCTCGTCTCCTCTGCTGGGCAGGGGCTGTAGCTATGCTGGTCCCTATCTCCTTGCGAGTCTAACAGGGTATCCAGCTGCTGCGCCCTCCACCTGCAACTCCCCTTCGCACCTTGGAGGGAAGGAGATTGACTTCCACGATGCAAAGGGCTCCCATGCGGGATACTGCTAGCCCGATGATCTTCTCCAGGAAGAACAGGATGCCAGGGACCAGCAGCCACTTCCAGAAGTTGGGTCCGTGCAAAATGAGCAGAATCCACATGGGGAGGTAAGACAGATGGGTCCAGTAGAACACCTGTGAGGGTGAGGAGGGAGGGGGTGGTAAGCTTCCAGAGCTCAAGACCTGGCTAGGGTGGAACAGCGCCAGAGCTCAGAGACAACCTCAAAGCCAGGGCAGACCCAGAGCCTCGGTCATATACACCCTCTCCTGGAGACAGGGCTGGGTAGGAGGCTGGGGATGGGAAGCTTTGGGGTTTCTTTATTCTGGGGGCTTGGCCCAGGGATCTTAATATAAGGGCTCCTAGCGCTCGCAGCAAACATCTGAAACATCTGCCTAGGGATAGCCTGGCTAGAGTGGAGTGCCCTCAAAGTGCTTATCAGCATCAATGTCCCCATGACATTGACCCATTTTCAGGGGGAAGAAAAGAAAGTAATTTCCTGGGTGTGGAGAAGAAAGAACAGAGACCTGAGTTTGAACGCCTGCTATTGTGGGCTGCGAGATTACTTGTCTGAGTGTCAGACTCCTCATTGGCCAAATGAGGATGTGGAGGCCCACGTCAAAGGATTGCTGCTGGGGCTCTGTATTTGTCTATCTGATGTGACCAGATTAGTCCAGGGGGCTCCAAACCAAATCTGTGACCTCCTGCATCTTGAGGACACTACACAGAGGGGAATGAAAATGGAACTAACGTGTTGGGAGCATCTGTGTGCCCCGTGAATAATAGGGGCTTCCCATATGTCATCTCATTTAATTCCTAAAATAACTTCATAGGTAGAGAACTATAGGTCCACTTTATAGATGAGGAAACTGAGCAAGCCTGTGCTCCTTCCTCTCCCTGAGCCTGGTCTAATCCAATTTGGGCAGGCTGGCAAAAAAGCAGAATCTTCCAGAACCAAATATCTTCCACTTGGCAGACATATACTACAGCCCAGTGACAGACCCCAGAGCACATGCACATAATATGCAAACCAGCCTGGGACTGCCTGGGCTCTGGAGTAAATGTGAGGGGACACGGCATGGAACGAAGAGGGGAGCCCAGCTAGGGAGAGCCAAGGGGAAGGGCTGGACACCTCAAAGTGGCCACTCCTCCGGATGCAGGAGCTGGAGCAGGCAAACATGAGGACCAGCAGCAGCAGCAGAGCCACACCGGTCGGGGAGGCTGAGCCATAGACCCAGCCAATGCCAGGCCTGGTGGTGAGCAGCAGCTCCCAGAACCGGAAGGGGCTGTCCTTGGACTGAGCCTGAAGCACTGGAGATGAGCACAAGACAACCTCTTCCCTCTCCACCTTTCTTTTTGGGGACCCACCCCCCCATCAGACACCCACATGGGTAGAGACTTCCAGCCAGACCACTGGCTGGTACAGGACACCCCTCCCCACCCACTGGGCCTGCAGGACACACAGGGACTGAGCCCCATGTCCTGGGCTGGGGGCTGGGGAAAGGCCCACCCACGTCCTCTCCCCCAGCCCCAAGCCACTCACCGAAGTTCACAACGTGAGCCACAGTGTGCACCAGGGAGAGCACAACCACCACGTAGCCCATAAGCTGGTGGAACTGATGTTCCAGTCCAGTGGCAGGACCTGAGCCAGCCAGGTAGCCCGCAGCCATGTCAGGCACCGCCTCAGCATCAGCACCTGGACAGAGCAGCAGAGAGCCCCCCCTCTGGCTCTCCCTCCGCCCCAGTCTCCCTTCCCCAGCAGCCATCTCCCCATCTCTCTCTGAGCTGGCTGTGCCTCCTGAGCAGGCTGGGGTGTGGGGAAGGCCTTCACCATCTCCCCTGCCCCTAAGCCTTCGCTGCTCCCCTAGGTCCGCAGCTGAGGTGTCCAAAGCACGGTCTCCGGAATCAGCGCAGGGAGAACAAATGTTACAGAATGGCTGCTGTTATTACTTTCACCTAAACACACGAGAAGCACAGAAGCTTTTGCTAACATTTAATACCCGCGTCGACACGGTGCCCTCATTTAGTCTGTGTGTCAGACAGGCACGTGTTACGTCTAGTTCTCAAAGTGTCCTGGAGGAAGACCGGGTTTCCCAAAGGGGCTTGAGGCCAGGGTTCCCTTCCTGCTCATTTGCTTTCAATATATGTGTGCCCAGATAGAGAGACTTGCAGATGATGTTGTCTGGTTTTAACCAAGTTAAACTACCTCTCACAGGAAAGATAAGATTCCCTGCGGAGAAAGTACTGACTGAAAGCAGTGTTCCTAACGCGAGTGACCAAGCAGATGAGTCGTGGGACTCCGACTCTTGGTATGTGGCCAGTTCCGAGGATAAAAATAAAACCCACCTAAGACGCTGACATTATCAAGAAGAGTATCTGAACTAAAGATGTACATTCCTGATCGTTAAGATGACTCTTGCCTTATTGTGTTCTGTAAGTCTAATGGCTAATGATAATAGGGCATGCATATAATTATAAGTAAATGAGCAGGTATTGGGTCAGTGGAAGGGTTTTTCGTTCTCTGTCTGCTGTCCACCTGCCCTGGGGCCACCTAGGTTGTTGTGAACATCAAAAGGAGAGGGCCTAGCACCCTGACTGTACATGGTAAGTGCACAAAAATGCTGGCTGTATTTTATAGGCTGTGTGACTATGGACAAGTCACTGCCCCTCTCTGGACCCAGTGTCCAATGAATATTGATTGATCCAGCTGACTTCTGAGGAGCCCTCCTGCCCTGGCACTCCAGGACTCCACGTGTGGGTCCCTTGGGCTATGAGGAACTTACATCAGCATCCCCCAGCAACCTCACCCCTTCACCCTGCTTCCCTGGGCACTGTGCCCCCCAGTCCTACCGCGATGAAGCTGCAGTCGAAGTTGAGGCACTGGCCGCAGCCCTTGGCCACCATGACGCTGGGGCCGCGGGCCCGGTGCGCGCTGGCCGCCAGCGCAAAGAGCAACACGTGAAGGACCGCGTAGGCGGTCAGGCAGAGCAGGTGGCTGCAGTGGTTGTGCCAGTAGGCGGAGGTCAGAAGGCGGGGACGCCGCCGGCGCTGCTGGGCTGCGGGGGGCGTCAGCCAGTGGGCGGCGCTGCGAGAGAGGGGCTCTGCTCAGAGGGACCCGCCCGGCGCGGGGCGGGGCGGAGGGAGAATCCTCACGGGGTGTGGCGGGCAGCCCCCCAGCGGCAACCTAGAGACCCCACGCCCGCTGTAACCGACCAACTCTCTGGATCCTCCTGGCCGGCGGCCGGCTTCCCTTTATACCAGGACACAGAGAGGTCGAGCGACTTGCTCAGAGTCACACAGCAGGCAAAGCCAGGATGGAACTCCCAACTGCCTGATGCCACAATCACGTCTGCTTCTATTACTTCCCTTACCTACCAACTGGGGGTGGGGGGTGGGGGGAGGCAATTGAAAAGGATGGAAAATTCTGAGATATGTTGTGGTAAATAACCCACAAGTAAGCTAATACACAAAAAGAATGAACCATAAAAGTGGCACTTTTCGGAGCCTGGAACACCCCGGCTACTTTATTGTCCTCCGCAGCTCTTTCCTACTTAGCACTTCTCTAGTTGATGCAGTTGTTTATTGGCATAAATTACGTATAAATTAACAGTGCCTGCTTGACCAAGTTGAATAAATGTCTGCTAATTATAGGTGTGATCCTCGGTAAGTTACCTGAAGGTGAGGTAACTAATTTCCTTTTGGAAATCAGTTCTGGTGCGGTCACTAATTTCCTTTCCATTACTATAAAACGCACTGGCATATTTGTAAAAATGCCCAGCCCACTGTAGGTGCTTAATACTGTGAAGATTCTGAAAAGACACTGTAAATCGGAGACCCGATATGAGCCCCCAGCAGAACTGGCCTTTGTCCGCTCTAAGAAACTGGGTGGGGCGGGGCCGGAGTGGGGGCGCGGCCGGAGTGGGGCGGGGCCGAGGGATCCCCGGAGCTTTCGCGCCGCTCTGCGCCCCTGGAATCTAGCCTCACCGCACCTGATCGTCAGGTTCTCCATGACGCCGGGGAAGCGCTGCAGCTCGTCCCGGAGCTCGTCGAAGGTGATGGCGCCGTTGCAGTTTTTGTCGGCAGACTCGAAGAGCGCCAGCGTCAGCTGATCCAGCTTCTCGTCCGGCAGCGAGATGGCGCTCTCGCGCATGCATGACTGCAGCACGGTGCGCAGCTCATCCACGTCGATGGACCCGCTGCCTGTCCCAAGTGGGGATCGAAGCCGAGTGGGAGCTTGCCCCGGACCCTACTCTCTACCTGAAGATTCCCCCTGCCTGCCCAAATATTGCATGGAAAGATGAGCTTTCCCTGTTCGCCCACCTCCAGTTTTCTCCCAACCAAGTCCCTTTCCGGGTGTAGATCAGGCGATCAAAGTACACAATGTCATCCTCAGTTCAGAAACCTTCCATGGCTCCCCACTGCCCAGCTTCGTGGGGAGAAACTCCTCCCCAAGCATGGAGAATCTTAGCTTCAGTGCATGCCTTCCTCCAGAATCTGCAGCCTCCTTTCTAAGTCCTGAGCTTAGACAGCCTTTTTTTCTGTGTATTTTTCCACTCTGCATGAACAGCAGGGCCCATGATTAATGAGTTCTTGGCCTGATTTGGATGCACATACACATGAGGTGGCTTCATGTTTCTGCCCCTTACTGTGATGGTAGGCTATAAATCCTTTGGAGTAGTGAACCTTACTTTGCTCATCTATAAAATGGGGATAATATTCCTTCCCTCTCAGAACTGGTTCAAGGATAACAGATCATTATAAAGTACTTACTGTAGTATCTGGAAGAAGGTAGCTGCATACAAATGGAAAGTCTTATTGGTATTTTAATCATCATAAAGGCCAAACCAAAGTCTGTAATCACATGACAGTGCAGTCTCATGTATTGCTCTCCAGCACGGCCTCCCATACTTCAGGTTTCCTAGCCAAGAGCCACTATGCCGCAGGTCTCTAACTGCATCCAGAGTCCCTCCCCTGTGCCTTCACACCCTCTGGTCCATTCAACTTTATTCACTCCTTGGCTAGTTTCAAATCCAGGGTCCCCTTCACTATTACTCTCATACACACATTCCTCTTCCTCATCCCGCTGTCCTTCTATTCTAGTGACCTAAACATATCCCATTCCTGAGTGAATCTAGCCACCTATCCTTTCCCTTCCTGCACCAGGGCAGCTGATAGAACATTCTTGGAGAAAAGCACTCAAGAGAGCAGGAAGCTTTGATCCTCAGCCACAGCAAGGCCTTCAACTTGCCCAGAAACCTTATCCTGATTCTCTGGTAAGGTCATTCTCCTACTGCCTACAGGATCACTTCTCTCCTCCATGTGCATCCAATCCCTGCCTGGCTCTCAGAGAAAACAGAAGCCACTGGAAGGGAATGCTCTCTAGTTCCTGCCTTTCACCTGCCCTGTACTGCCTCCCCCCCCCCAAAGTCTGCAAGGAGAAGGTGAGTGTGTTGCTCCTCCCATCAAAAATCAACCTCTCAGGAGTGAGCAAAGCTTGGTGGTCAGAAAGCAATCAAGGAGGACTGTCCCATGGAGACTCGGTGTGGTCAGCTCCCTATGTACTATGGGAAAGGGGCCAATCTGGGGAGTGGGTTCCAGGAATGAGGTCTGGCTAGACTGAGTGAGGTGGGACTGGGAGTTAAGAAACCCCATAAGCCAGAGGGCCCTGCCCAGGAGCAGGCCTGCAGCTAGGTTTAACTTTTCAGGATGCAAATCCAGCCCAGGGAATTCCCTGCTCAACACTCTTTAGTGGCTCCCCGTGGCTAATTGTACTGAGACTCCAAACCTGAGTGGGTACAGAGTTTCAGTTTGGAAAGATGAAAAAGTTCTCTGGGTGGATGGTGGTGGGTTGCCCAACAATGTGAATGCACTGAACGCTGTTGCACTGACACTTAAAAAATGGTTAAAGTTCAAAAAAATTGATTAAAGTGGTAAATTTAATGTTAGGTATATTTTGCTACAGTAAAAATTATGTTAGAAAGCAATATAGTCTTACACGAACAAATGTGTATGTTGTTTAGCAAAAAAAGGCAGTCAGTAGAGTGTAATCCCATTTAAAAAAATGCGGGGGGAGGTGTGTACAGAGAGATAGAGACAGATCAATTACAAGGCAGTACAGAAAAATGTTATGGGTGGTTTTTGCTTTCTTCTTTAAAGAAAAAAGAACTGTAGTATCTAAAATGTTCACGGTGGACTTATCATAATAAGGAAAAAGCAATAAAGCAATTTCTTTTTTCAAACTTTCAAAATAAGTTCAGGCTTCTGGTGATCGAATTAAGGGCATTTGTCTCCTGGGCCAGAGTGGCCCCTTCTTGCCACCTCTCCAAGAAGCGAGGCAGTGGTCAGCCAGAGAAAGGGGTTGAGGGTGGGAGGGGTAGGGGGTGGACACACAGAGGGAGAGAGCCATCAGCCTGGGCTGGAGAAAAGTCACCTAAGGGGATGGATTCCCTTTGCTCCTCCCACTGAGACCATTCCCGCCCCTCCGGAGCCCTTACCGTCGACGTCGTACACCTGGAAGAGGAATTTGAGTTTGTCCATGGGGTTGCCGTGGATGAGCAGGGTCAGCGCCTCCAGCAGCTCCTGGAGGGTGATGGTGCCACTTCCATCCGAGTCAAACAGATTGAAGAACCTCTCGGCAAAGAAGGGCTGTGGCCAGAGAAGGGTGGGAGATGGGCACTGGGTGGCCGAGGGGCCCGGCTTTGAAGTGCGGCGGGCTTTGCGCGCCTGCGCTGTGGGGTGGTGGGCTTCAGGCGGGGCCGCGGTGCTTGCGCATGGGGTGAGAATGGCCCGCTTGACCACACCAGGGGGTGTTGTCCACGGCCCCTCCCGCTGGCCCAGAGCAAGTTTAGATACCCGTGGAAGCACTGTTCAGATCCCAGCAGTGAGAAGGGGCTTGTGTCTGGGCCTCAAGCCCCTTGCTGGCCCTTCATGCTTGGTCATTTGTACAGGTTCTCTGTCCCCTATGTGCCCGTCACCCCCATCAGCCTTGCAGTCCAGACCCCTCAACATGCAAAAAAGGGTCAGACTGAGGTCTCCCCCTGCAGGCTCCTCCCGGGTCCTGTCTCATCCCCCTTGGGGTGAACCAGGAGGGTTTAGAGGGTAGATGGCCCTTGAACACCTGGATGGTCCCTAAACTTATTGCTTAGGCTGCCTGAGCTTATACTTAAGGCTCGTTCTTAAGCTCCTATTCACTCACTCTATTCACGCATTCAGTTATTCACCCATTCATTCATTCATTCATTCATCCATTCATTCAGCAATCATGTCCTGCACAGCCCCCACTTGCCAGGCCTGGTGTTAGACACCCAACACAGAAATTAAGACAGGCGGGGTCAGTGCCCCAGGTATGCCTGGCCAGAGGCTCGCCTGGAGGCAGGGAGAGGGGCCTGCAGGGCTTCGTGTTTGACCTAAAGAAACCATGAGGGTTCACAAGCAGGAAATGGGGGCTGAAGTCTGTTGTAGACAGTCACCCCTGCCTCGGCTCTCCTCTTTCTTTCCTGGATCCCTGGTTAATGCCTTTATCACTCTCTACCATCCCAAGTGGTCTTTAGCTTAAGATAATTTACAGCATCGTTGTAATGTATTGGGGCCTGGGTGGCTCAGTCAGTTAAGCATCTGCCTTCGGCTGGGGTCATAATCCTGGGGTCCTAGGGAGTTTGCTTCTCCCTCCCCCTCCCTTGTTTGTGCTCTCTCACTCAAATAAATAAATAAATAAATAAAATCTTAAAAAGAAAAAAAGAGTATAATGTATTGTTAGGCAGAATGTCTTTTTTTCCCCTCCCTATGTTTACTACGGAAGGAGGCATGGCATTTAGAGTTCTTAGCAGTATCCCTGCTACCAGCAAGTGAGGGGCACGCAGAGACATGCAGATGCTCATTGGCTCGCCCCTATCAAGGACACAGGCCACCACCAGATGCTAGCCCATGAAATGTGTGGGGAGAAGTTAACATTTGCAGGCTCACTCCCCCCGATCTCTACGGATGTCTCCCCTGTTTTGGGGGCATACAGGCTTCTCCAGGAATGGGTAGAGAACCTATGAAATGAGAGAGGTTTTGGGGAGGGGGTGGGAGTTTCATGGATACAAATCATTGAGAATCTTATTTCCTGGAAGGAGGCTTATGGACATCATAGCCTCAACTCTGCCCATGAGGCTGGTGGAAAACATGAGGCCAAAACTACTTCCTAAGATCTGTCAAGCTCCTGACACCCAAATTTACATGTTGTTTCGAAGCCCCCAGGAGACATGGCTACCAGAGGGATGGGAGGGCATCAGGAGCAGAGACTAAAATGCTTGGATCCTGCTTAGGGGTGAGGCTGGAAGCCCTGAGGATGCCCGGGGGGTGATCTTTCCCTCCTTGTGAGGTACTTTGTCCCTGAGAGCCAGACTGCTCCTCCGCTATGAGCACAGGGTCCACTTCTGGAGTGGACACTTGCCTCTTTCACATTGAGGGCTGCTTTGAATTCTTGCAGGTCGATTTCCCGGTCTTCCCCCACAATGGTCTCAAACTGGTGCGTCACCCACTGAAGCCATTTGGTGTCCTCCTTGGTACTCATGGTGCTGGAAGAAGAGGAGACAGGTTTGTGGGTTTGGAGTGGTCAAGGGCTTCTGGTGGTTCCAAGACGTGTGCCTGCTTCTATCTAGGTCCTTGGGCCTTCCATGGGTTGGACCCGCTTTGCCCATGAGAAAGGAGCCTCCCCAAGACTGCTTCTTTACATCTCTAAGTCCCTGTCTCTTTCTTCCATCTGGCATCAGCCAGCCTGGACTCGTGTCTCTTTATGTTCTGGAATGATAGGGTCCCAGTGAGATGGAGCCCAGGCTGTGGGCCTGAGGTCAGAGAGTGGCACACTCATGTTAACACATCATGTTAACATGATGACAATATTTCCTGCCTCACATTTACACAGCTCTTCACTGTTTTCCAAATTCTTCCCACCCACTACTTCATTTCATCTCTGTCACAGCTTGGTGGATCATGACGTTTTATAGGGAGGAAATAGATTTAGAGCAGATGAGTATTTTAGAGAAATTTATTCAGCCACTGAGAGAGAGAGAAAGTTCAAATTCAAGGCCAGTATGTTTTCCATCATGCCCCATCCTCTGCTTGAACACGTCTAGTACAAGCCTCACCAGGACTCAGACCTCAGGTCTTGACTCTCTGGGTCCAGGGCACATTGTATGATGTTCCAAGGGTATCAGCAAACTGACAGCCTCCCAGATGAGCTAAGTACACAATGACCTGAACAGAGGTTACTGGTAAATGAGGACACTTTCTGTGTTATGAGAACCCAACAAACCAAAAATGAAGCTGTGAGTGAGGATTTATAGCTTCTGTTGCCATAAACTTTTCTCTGAGAGAATGGCTTTGTCTGTATCCCGTGAGTTCAATGTAACCTTAAATGATTTAGCTACAATCGATCCTCATTATTTGCAGATTCTGTAAGGACCTATTTAGCCAGAGCAACTCCATCTTGGGTAAATAGCCATTTTGTTGTTTGTGCAGTAAACTTAAATTGACTTTCCCCCCCAGAGAAACTTACTTAGAAACAAGTCCGGGAAACCAGTAAAATGTAGTCGGCTAGTTCCTGATAACAGAGCCCAGAATACGAGGACGAGTCAGGCCAGATAGAGACATCTAATCAGTACGAAGTACTGTTTGTAACAGTGAGAAGGTCTTGCCCAAACCTAAATGACTCCATCTTGGGAAGGACAACGATCTTATTATTCACACTGAATATGTTAACTGACTAAACCTTCCCAAAAAGTACTGTTTGTAACTGTTCCTGGTATGGGGTAGTAATCTTAAATAACAAGTCTCCAGACCAGATGGAGCTAGCCAATCAGCAAGAGACACACAAACCCGGTGGGTTGAGATACCAAGATATGGGTTGCAGTTTCACCCAATAAAAGGTAGCCTGTAAGATGGGGAGGGGTCGCTCTCTTGGGAGATGGCCCTGGCTGGTCAGTCTGACTTCTAATGCTTAGCATAGAATAGAGCTTTGCATAACTTTCACCTTGTCTCAGTCTCATTCCCCTGACCGATCAGTCTAACTTCTAATACTTATCATAAAATAAAGCTTTAAATAACTTTCACTTTGTCTCAGTCTCGTTTCGTTTAATAACGGACCTAACAATTCCATATTCGTGAATTCACCTGTTTGTTGAAACTTATTAGTAGCTCCCAAACCAATACTTGCAGCATTTTCCCAGACATTGCAGGCATGAGCAAAGTTGTGATCAATTTCAGCTGCCTGATGTACACGTTCCCAGCTGAGGCTGAACGGGGGTCCCTCTGCCTTCTTGTTTTAGCTCTCATACTGAGAACGAGTGTCCTTTGCGTGATCTAGTGAGTGCTGCAAGTTTTAAATTTTTGTGCTTTTTGTTGGTAATTTTCTTTTTCTTTTTCTTTTTCTTTTTTTTCATTCTTAACAAAACTTTTTTAAGGGTGGTTGACACATAATGTTACGTCAGTTTCAGGTGTATATCTAGTTATGTTTTGCTTATGATAAGTGTAGCTACTGTCTGTTACCAGGTAACACTGTTAAGATATTATTGATTATAGTCCCTATGCTGTGCCAATGACTTTGCTATTTAAAATGGCCCCAAGAGTGGTGTTGAGATGCTGGCTAGTGTCCCTAAGCACAAAAAGGCTGCAATATGCCTTAAGGGGAAAAATACATGTATTAGGTAAACTCTATTCAGACATGAGTCCTAGCACTGTTGACCATGAGTTCTATGTTAACAAATCAACAATTTATATTTTTAAAGGAGTTTTTTTTAAAAAGATTTTATTTATTTATTTTAAAGATAGAGAATGAGAGAGACAGAGCACGAGAGGGGGCGGGTCAGAGGGAGAAGCAGACCCCCGGCTGACCAGGTAGCCAGATGTGGGGCTGGATCCCAGGACTCTAGGATCATGATCTGAGCCAAAGGCAGATTCTTAAGCAACTGATCTCCCAGGTACCTCTAAAGGAGTCTTTAAACAGAAGCACACAAAAAAACAAGATTTTATATTGATTGTTTGATTAAAAAAAAAACAAAACTCTGTGCCCAAATGTTGGCAGGAATCTAACCCTGCATTTTCCTGAGGAGCAATGGCCCAGAATTCCCTAATTCGTTGTTTGCAATGAATTTAGAGGACATAATTGCCATGAATAATGAGAATTAACTATCTATACATAAAAATTAAAAATAAACAAGCTCACTTCCACTTAAGGAACCAGGAAAAAAATAATATAATATCCACATGCACAAATAGAAGTATAGACGATTAAATACAAAATCTGAAATTCAGGAACTAGAAAACTAAAAATGGTCAAAATAATACATTTATTTTTTATTATGATGATGGTTTCGCAGATGTAGCCATATGTTAAAAACTCATCAAATTGTTCATGTTAAGTATCCAGTTTATTGTTTATTAATAACGCTTTAGTGCAGTGAAAAAAGAAGTTGGGTCTTCAAAAAGTCTAAGTAGAAAAGCAAATTAAAGAAAACAAGTGGGGGGCGCCTGGGTGACTCAGTGGGTTAAAGCCTCTGCCTTCGGCTCAGGTCATGATCTCAGGGTCCTGGGATCAAACCCCGCATCAGGCGCTCTGCTCAGTGGGGAGTCTGCTTCTCCCTCTCCCTCTGCCTGCCTCTCTGCCTACTTGTGATCTCTGTCTGTCAAATAAATAAAGAAAATCTTAAAAAAAAAAAAAGAAAACAAGTGGGAAAAATACAACATTAATATTGAGAAAGGCAATAAAAAGGGAGGGACTACAGACATATGAGTATCCAAGTGCACTTGTTTGGTGAACTCAGGGAAATGAGTTGATTTCAAGAAGACATAACAATCTGAAAGGACTAACATTCATTTCAGAAATAAGAAAGGCAGTGAATGTCAGCCCCAGCTTGTTTTTATAGCTGAGTTCTACCCAATCTTCAAAGAATAAGCCCAATATCAAACTAGCTCTGATGGTAAAAAAAAGTAATAATAATGGTAAGACTCCCAATTTATTTTACAAAGCTAGCATTCCCCAATCCTGATGTAGATAGCATACAAGAAAAGGAAAATTCTAGACATATGTAACTGGTAGAGATGCAACACTCAAACTAGAATATAACCAAGTTAAATCCTGGAATTTACTTCAAAAAATAATAACCCACCTTTATCAGGAAGGACTTTTTCCAGATATACAAGGATAATTCACTATAAATATTATCTACCAACCCCCGCTGCTGTCCAAACGCAGTAGTTGGAAGACTAGCGGTGCCCAAGTTATGACATCTGCCTGTCAGAGACAGGGAGAGCTTGCTACAGTGCCCACTCTGGCTCACCAACTTTGGGGTGAGGCCCCAGAATCTGCACATTTAACCAGAACCCTGGATGTTGGCGACCCATGCCGGCAGGTCCAGGCTCTCACCTGGAGGTTCAGCAGCCCCACTTACTTTACCCCAGGGGACCCACAGGAAGGCATTCCACAAAGCAGAGAGAACTCTGGGAAAGAGCCTGCATGCAGGTGCTAACCCAGGGAGGGTAGGGATGGGCTATCTGGTGTGTGCTGGTGTGCACTTCCCTCTTCTTGGAAATGTTAGTGTTTCAGGCCTGCAGAAGGAGAAGAAATTCTAGGAAGCTGGTGGAAAAGAGGCTGGAACAGCTGGTGGGAAGAAGGGAGGAAGGGGGTGTGGGGGGAAAAAGAAGGTAGCACTGAAGGAGACAGATGTCCTCGAGGAGGAGCTAGGAATGTTCAGATTTCAGAGCTCTAGGGGAACAATGTGCTCAGCAGAGGCCAGAATTTTCCTGGGAGACCAGGAGTTTAGGTCCAGGCTTGCTCTGCCCTACCTGATCACTGGCCCCACTGCCCTGTGGTGAGCTTATCTGCAGCACGCGACAAACATCCTTCCAGCAAGGGCTGCTACTATGACCAAATGAGATGCTATTTGGGAAAGTGCAACTGACAAGCACTGTACAAATGCTACATATCATTACTCTGACTAGGCCAATTCCTCCTTTTACAGATGTGAAAACGGGTCCAGAGAGGTCTGGTGACATGCCCAAGATTGCACAGCTTGCTGGTAACCAGGCAAGAGCAGACCTGAGCAGGCTCAGGTCTCCTGACCTCTGTCCCAGACAGAGAGTCATCCTCTGTAGTTCCCCCACTGAAGGCAAAGAACCCTTGCCTTTCCGAATAAATAAAATCTTTAAAAAAAAAAAAAAAAAAAAAGAACCCTTGCCTTTCCCTTGTCATTGGCATGGAAAGCTAGAGAAAGAGTCACTCACCCTCTGTGACTTTCAAAGTCTGGCTAGGCTGGGTCTTCTGGCCTGCTCACCCTTTCTCCTATCTTCTAGACCACAGGTCCCAGAGAGGCTATGGTCTGTACAGCAGCTTGTGGGTGAAGCCCAGAGTTGACCTCTCCCCAGCTCCTCCTCTTCCTGACTCTCCTAAAGAGCTGCTCACACCCACTACCGCTCAGGCATCCACGTACTGGCCAGTGGCTGACTTGGTCCAGAGAAATCCCGACAAAGAGCCTGGTGCAAGGGTGGGGCAAGGATCTCACTGGAAAGATGTTGGCA